TGATCCCAGGACGCTGGGATCATGACCTGAGCTGAAGGCAGAGGCTTAACCCACTGAGCCACCCGGGTGCCCCTCCTGACTCCTTTTCCCTTCATTTTATTTTTTACACCCCTAGTAATGGTTTTAGCCCTAAGTACCCAAATGGGATGATACAGCCTCCCTTCTCATGCAATTGTCTTGTTTTTGTAAATTTGTGGGGGAAAAAACCCCAAAGCATTCACACACACAAAAACAAAAACAAAAGAACTTGCCCAAAGAAACTCCTATATACCCATCACCCAGATTCAACAATCACGTAGCATCTGACATGTTTGTTTCATGATTGCCTTTTTCCCCTTGATGAAGTATTTACAGACCAATCCCAATGTCATTTTGCCCCTCATACTTCAATACACAGAGATCTCTAAAAATGTATACAACTGTGTCAACCCCAATACTATCATCACACCTTGACTATATGTTTGTGTCCCCCTGCCCCAAATTCCTATGTTGAAAACGAATCCCCACTGTGATAGTCTTGGGAGGTGGGGCCTCTGGGAGGTGACTAGGTCATGAAGGCTGAGCCCTCACCAGTGGTTAGTATCTTATAAAAGAGACACCAGAGAGAGCTTCTTTGCTGCTGAGGACACTGCAGAAAAACCCAGCCATCTGTGACCCAGGACACTGGTCTTCACCAGACACTGAATCTGCTGGTGGCTTGATCTTGAACCTCCCAGCCTATGGAACTGAAAGAAGTGTCTGTTGTTTGTAAGTCACACAAATGAACCAAGGCAACACCTTAGAGAATTAACAACCGTCCCTTGTTACCACGAAACACACAGGCCACCATCAAGTTTTCCTGATGAGCTCAAAAATGTCTTTTTCCATTGATTTCTTCGTATTTTGTTTGTTTATATCAAGATAGAATTGACATGAACATATTTGTTTCAGGTGTCCAACATGATCTGAACCACAGCCATTGCCCAATGATTGCACAATAAGTCTAATGAACATCACCATACATAGTTAATTTTTTTTCTTTTTCTGTTTTTTTAAAAAAGATTTTATTTAACACACAGAGAGAGAGCACAAGTAGGCAGAGGCAGGCAGAGAGAGAGGGGGAAGCAGGCTCCCCGCTGAGCAGAGAGCCTGATGCGGGCCTTGATCCCAGGACCCTGGGATCATGACCTGAGCCAAAGGCAGAGGTTTAATTCACTGAGCCACCCAGGCACCCCTAAATTTCTTTTCTTTTGATGAGAACTTTTAAGATCTGCTCTCTTGTTAACTTTCAAATATGTAATACAGTATTATTAACTATAGTCACCATGTTGTACATTACATTCCCAGGACTTAACACATTTGGTTTCTTCACATTGGATCCAAATAAAGTCCACAAATCATGTTTGCTTGTCATGTCTCCTAAATCCCTTTTATTCTAATCCAGTAGTTCTCAAATTAGAGCATGCATTAGAATCCTCTGAATGTTCTGTGAAAGCACAGATGCTGGGGGGGGCTGCACCCCCAGGGCTTCTGACTGGAGATCTGGAGTGGGGCCTGGGAATCTGAATTCCAAATGACTGCTCAGGCAATGCTGCCAGAACTTGCTCAGAAAAACACTGCTCTGGGTTCTTCCTCCTCTTCTCCAAGCCCACCAAACTTTGTTACAGAAGGAGACCTGCGCGCACCTGGGTGGCTCAGTGGGTTAAAGCCTCTGCCTTGGCTCAGGTCATGGTCCCAGGATCGAGTCCCACATCATGCTCCTGCTCAGCGGGGAGCCCGCTTCTCCTTCCTCTGCTGCTCCTCCTTTTTGTCCTCTCATTCTCTCTCAAATAAATAAAACCTTAAAACAACAACAACAAAAGAGTGTGGATTTACTCCTTGCTTCTACTGTGAATCCTTTATCTTCTTCCTCCTTCCCCCATATTTCTTGTAAGTCACTGGTTCTCAGCCCTCTGGGAACTTTCACAAAATGGGTCTGGGGACTCTGACATTCACCCAGAAGATTCTAAGGGCGGGACGTGGCCGCTGCTGAGAAACAATCCAAGGGCTTCATCCAATGACCACAACTACCTGAATCAGTTCTTTCATTGGAGATTGCAAAATGGTGGTTTATCTAATCTATCCATCTTTCTTAGGGGGGCCAGGGGGGATTTTCAGGAAGCTAAACTGAGCAGGGGCTGTGTTTGCTATTGCTGCAATCACCTCCCATTGCAGGAAAGAACACACCAATTTCCTCTGGAGCCAGCCCACCTCTCAGATTTCTGTCCCGAAACCAGATTCTGTCACGTGGTCTCAGCCAGCCAATCAGCACGTTCCATCACATTGGCCCCAGGCAGGCCATGGATACTCGGTTTGGGGATTTGGGATGAGATGAACACCTCCCTTGACGCTCACCTCACCTCGCGAGGGCAAGGCCACAGAGCAAAGGCACAGAGAACAGTTGAGAAGACTGGGACAGTATTGTGAGTCCGTGGGTCTAGCTCCCCTTTGAGCTCTGCAGTGCATACATTCACTCAACAAACATCAATTTCCATCATCAACTTCCAATCAATGGAGCGCCTGATCTAAGTCATGAATGAACTCTTTTTACTCAGATCACTTTTTAAAAAAAAAGATTTTATTTATTTAACAGACAGAGATCACAAATAGGCAGAGAGGCAGGCAGAGAGAGAGGAGGAAGCAGGCCCTTGCTGAGCAGAGAGCCCGATGTGGGGCTTGATTCCAGAACTCTGGGATCCTGACCTGAGCCGAAGGCAGAGGCTTTAACCCACTGAGCCACCCAGGCGCCACTCTCAGAACACTTCTGACACCAAATGTGTGTGCGCGTGGAGGGGTTTCACACCAAACCACTCTCTCGGGGCACCAATGGGATGTCCTAAAGTTCAGTTCTTACATTAACTACCCAGTATTTGAGGCAGATACACAAACTTTAGGGCTCAGTCTGATTAGACTGCCCCCTCTTCAGATGCGGGTTTCAAGTATTGGATCTCCGGGTGACCCATACTTCTGTCTGACTCGGCTCCAAAATCAGGGAGCTCCAACAATCCCCCTTCCCTGTCAGTCTCGGTAATTAAAATCTCACAGTGCTCCCTAAACACTTTCGTTACCATTTTTAGTTAATTATGAAAGGATGTAAATCAGGGAACAGCCAAACGCATAGGGTACAGTATGGAGAAGGGGTGTGGAGCTTCCCTGTCCTCTCCCAGCATGCCTCCTTTCTAGCACCCTGATGGGTTTCTAATCTAGAAACTCTGAATCAAGCAGGGGGTGGGGGAAGGGAAGGGAAGGAGTTGGGGGAGAAGCAGGGCTGAAGAGGGAGCCAACCTGGGGCTCCGTCCCAGGACCCTGAGATCATGACCTGAGCCGAAAGCACTTAATGGACTGAGCCAGCCAGGCCCCTCGTTTTTAGGCTTTTTATGGAAATTTCATCATTTAGGTATGATGGATAAAAACACTGGCCATTGGTGATTAACTCAATCTCCCGCTTGTCTTCCCTCCACTTCCCTCCACCTCCACAGTCAGGTGGCTGGGCTCATAGCTCCCACCCTCTAGTCTTGGCTTTTTGTTTTTGAATTTTTAAATTTATTTGTCAGGGAGAGAGCTAGTGAGCTAGAGAGAGCACAAGCAGGGGTAGCAGCAGAGTCCCTGCCAGGGTGGGAGACCTATACCGGGCTCGATCTCAAAACCCGGGATCATGACCTGAACTGAAAGCAGACGCTTAACCAACTGAGCCACCCAGGGGTCCCATGGCTTGGTCTTTCTGGAGAGCAGCCTCCATCCCGAGGCCACCTAGAGACTCCAGGCCTCTCATTAGCATACAAAAGACATTCTTATCGCTTGAGAAATTCCAAGGATTTAGGAGCCCTGTGCCAGGCCAGGGACAAAAACCAAGTTTTGGTTTTTTCTTTTTTAATTGTATCAAACAGGAACTGAGCTGGGTGTGGTAGTGAAAAATACACTTGAGGAACTGATATTATATTGAAAGACACACTTGTTAAGTTAAACAAGTAAATTATATAGTAGTTTCCATTCTAGAAACTATGGGGAGGAGGGCACAGGAAAAGGACACCAGAAATGCTGCAGAGAGGCTGCAGTACGAAACAGGGAGGGGACAGAGGGAAAGGGGGGGCCAATAGGAGAGTAATATTTGCACAAAGGCCTGAAAGAGGGGGTGAGTGAGAGGAGCCATTTGACTTTAGGCAGACAGAACAGTTGGTGCAAAGGCCCTGAGGCAGGGGCCTGGTGTGTTCAAATAGCAACAAGGCCAATGTGACTGCAGCAGAGCAAATGTGGGGGGCAAGTGGGAAGAACTGAGGGAAGTAACAGGTCAGATCATGCAGGACCTTGTGAGCTGAAGGGAAGACCCAGGCTTTTACTCTGAGTGGAGGAGCAATGGACAGTTCTTGTATGGACAGGATCCCACCAGCTGCTAGGGGCGGGGGGCACAGATCATCTTACTAGAACTAGTTGGGGCAACATCACCCTCCCTACCACACAGCAAACTTTCCAGGGCCAAGCTGGTGGGCATGAGGCCTGGTCCCCGAAGCCCCATACCTGAGCCTCCTCCCTAGCCTGATCCAGACTCTGCTGCATTTCACCTGGCCCTCGACCCAGCATCTCCTTGGCTGTAAGTCAACTACCCTCTTCCTGAAAACCACTTATCACTAACGGAAATAAAAGAACAATTGCACAGGGACAGACGGCTTTATTTCCTCTTGTGGATAAACATGCTTGTCTTTCCGAGTGGACATCAAAGAATTGCTTCCACGGGAGAACCATGTCTGGTACAGAAATGACCCAAGTTGGGAGCTCACTCCATAGTGTTTGGGAATGATAGGGCAGAAGCCAGTTCGTGGAATTACTGATTCAACACAGAGTCCAAATATTGCCCCTTACTTGCCTTTTGGAATGGGTAGGAGAGAAAGACCCAAGAGCATGATCTCTGGGAAGGCCAAAGAAAGAAAGAAAACGAAAAAGTAGAACCCCAAACCCCCAACTGTGGTCATGGCCGTGGAAAAATGAGCTGCTTACAGCAAATGCTGAGAATGTAGGACCCAGTCTCGCGTTCCCTCTCCAGACCCCAGTCCCCTTGGAGTTAAAAAGTGGTTTTCCCGCAGCCTCTGGCTTCATTTTTGTTTGTAAACTCAACAAATCTCCATCCCTCCGACCAACCACCGCTGCCACCCCTGTGCCCGCGGGATCTCCCAGGACAGTGGTTTTCATTTCCCAGAGACTGTCGTGAGTGAAGCCTCCCAACCAAAATTATAAAATAAAAACTTACATTTTTAGAAGAAACAAACAAAAAAAACCCCTTTCCTACATTATTCCCAATTTTGAGAAGACCCAGGGGCAGCTAGCTGTCTCCGTTACTACTTAAAGCTCAACTGTCCAAAAATCATGTGTAAACTTCACGTCAAGGGCAAGGCACAACCAGAGTTTTTTTTTTTTTTTTTTTTTCTTATCATGCAGACTATGACAAGTTGGCTTGTCCCTTTAGATAATGGCACTTTGATCCGCCATTTTTTTTTTTTTTTCTGGCAAGCAGCTTAAGGAAAATGGACTAGCCCACAGAATCTTGACAGCCCAAGGTGCATCTTAACAGGCTTTTTTTTTTTTTTTAATAGCTGCTTTAATTTCTCTTTTATGTTAAAGTAACCAACATTTTTGACTCCTGCCCCCAAACATCCCCCAAACTCACTGTATGTGTTTCCAGGAACTTGACCATTTCACCTGTCTTCTGGATTGTTGACTTACAGAGATGCCCTCACTTTGAAGATCTAAGGGCAGCCCTTGGTAAGGGACGAATGGGGCCCTCTAGAAATAAATTCAAAGCAGAGCTTCTAGGAAGAGCCAAGTTCCACTTGAACCAGATCTCCCTCGCTTGCAGGAGGAGGAGGCTGAGATTTTAAAGGCTGTATAGCAAGTGGTTTTGGTGGCAGGGCCTGGGGGTGGAACTCAAACCATCTGTTTAGACCATCCTCCCAGGGTCTGTCAAATTCTGGGATGTTAGCTGGTGTTCCGGGCCATAAACAGGAGCCAGGCCACTGGAGTCTGGACTTGGGTGGGCAGGAAGACCACTGAGCTGGGGTGGGGGGGTTTGGAGATCAAAATGGAGATCCCCAGACTGCACATAAGCTCCCAGCAGGAGCCCCTGCCCGCTGGGGACCCCTGATCATGTGTCAACCAGGGACACTGATTCCCAGCCCATTGCCATCAGCCTGCCACTCCCAAGTGCATCTGTGAAGAGCGTGTAGCAACAGTAATTACCCAATCTTGCCTTCTCGCCCCTTCAGCCCAACCCTACAGCTTCCCTTAGGGGGAAACATCCTCCATTCCTCCATTAGTAGGAAACATCACCTCTCTGGTCCCCACCGATGATGTGGCTCAGGAAACAGGGCTCTGGGTCTTCAAGGGTCCTTGAGGGGGAGGAGCCCAAGTCCTTCCATCGGCAGGTCGCCAGCAAGGGCAGGCGATGGGAACATTGCTCAATTTCCTTCTCTAGCAGGATGTAAGATGTGGAAAGACCTTGCTTAAAACATCACCAGCCAAATGGGGCCCGGGAGAGGCAGGTATGGGTGGGAGGGCCCAGGCTCCTGGCTCTGAGGTTAACTTCCGGCAAAAAGTTCCGAGTGGGAACTCCACGGGTTGGGCCATTCTCTGCCCAGCCTGATGGGGCCCAGAATTCCAGAATTCAGTCCAGGGATCGGAGATGCTACAGTAGATAAGCCAAAACAGTGGCGGGAGTGTGGGTGACGCGCAATCCTGGGGAAGCTCAGAAGGCACTTCTGGGGTCCCTGAAGCTGGGGTGAGGGGGCTCTGACTTCCTGTCCCTTTACAATGGGAAAGCTGCTCTAATTCGGCTTGCACAGGCAGAGGGTCTGCGGGCCAGCAGGGAAGGGTCTGCGAGGGCTAAAATCACCTCCCTGCCTTGGAAGCTTGAGGTCTGAGGAGTTTCACAGGCAGGCCTGGGACCACACCAGGGGCCGAGAAAGGTATCGCCTTCCACGTCCCCAGGGATGAACTCCGAGGACCCACCCTGCAGGAGGAAGACGATGAAGCATCTTCGACCAGCTGGTGAACACCAGGCAATGCCCCACACAGAGTGGACGAGGATGAGAGCTCTAACCCCAGAAGGTACTGTGGAGGCCCTCCCACCAGACGGGGTGGGACACACTGCCCACCCTCCCTCTGTTAGGATTCCTGAAAGGCAGCAAGCCCGTGCATGTCAGTGCCCCCAGACTCTGCCCGCCATGCAGAATCCCCAGGGCCTGGAGCTTGTGTTAAGGCTGCTCAGGCAAGTCGGAGGTCATGCGGGAGCCAGGGCAGCTGGCGGGAGGGAAGGGGGCACCCTGAGCTTGGAAACAGCCCTTGTGGCTCATGCCTCAGTCACAGTCCCTGCCAAGGCCGGAAGGGGTAGGCAGGGATTGGGGACCATCTCTAGCAACTGCAGCTGCTGGGCTCAGGGGGTGTGGTGTCCCCCAAGGCCGGGCCTTTCCCATTGCTCCCCAGGCTGGAGCTGGGGTCTAGGGACTCATTCATCTTCTCACAGATGACGTCCACCAGGCGCTCAAAGACCTGCTTCACATTGATGTTCTCCTTGGCGCTGGCCTCGAAGAACTCAAAACCTGGAAGGACACAAGGTGGGAATAGCAGTGAGACCCCCGGAGGGCAGAGCCGGGGCTGTGACATCACCCAAACCTGGTCTCCAAGCCCAGGTCTGCCCTTCATGCGGTTGTGAGACCATGACCGAGTGCCTCGGTCTCTCGAAGCCTCAGTTGGCTCATCTGTAAAAAGGGAACAATGCTGATACTGATAAAAGTCTGTGGCGGCAGCCCCTGCTGGGGCTGTGCCAACAATCTCTTTGTCACAAAGCAATGGCTAAGAGTCTAGCTAGTAATGTTCCAGGACCCAGCAGGCATGTAACAGATGGTGGGTTTCCCAGCATCCGCAGGGCGTCTGCGATGCCCACAGTCTTGACCCACAGAACATATTAAAAGTGGCAATAATGAGGAGCACCTGGGTGGCTCAGTCAGCTAAGCATCTGCCTTTGGCTCAGGTGATGATCCTGGAGCCTTGGGTTCAAGTCCTTGGGATGAATCCTGCTTCTTCCTTTTCCTCTGCCCCTCCCCTGCTTGTGCCCATGCTCAAGTGAGCTCTCACTCTCTCAAATAAATCAATAAAATATTTTTTTAAAAAAAGTGGTAGCAGGGCGCCTGGGTGGCTCAGTGGGTTAATGTCTTCAGCTCAGGTTATGATTCTGGGGTTCTGGGATCGAGCCCCGCATCGGGCTCTCAGCTCAGCGGGGAGCCTGCTTCCTCTTCTCTCTCTGCCTGCCTCTCTGCCTACTTGTGATCTCTGTCTGTCAAATAAATAAATAAAATCTTTTAAAAAAATAAAAAAAAAGCGGTAGCAATAATGATAATAAGTAAGCAGCAGCAGCAGCAAACACCTAGGCGCACCTAACTTGTCTTTCATTTAAAAACAAAAAGCTTGTCCTGGGAGCCTGGGTGGCTCAGTGGGTTAAGCGTTGAATGCTCAATTTTGCCTCAGGTCATGATCTCAGGGCCTGGGATGGAGCCCAGCTCCTTCTCCCTCTGCCTCTCCCCTGCTACACTCTCTCTATATATGTATCAAAAATAAAAATAAAAAATAAAAAATAAACTTTTTTTTAAATTTAAAAAAGTTTGTCCTCCAAAAGCTAGAAGGTAGTACAAAGGCTCTGGGGACTCACCCATGGTCCCTCAGCTACAAAAAGTGGGCTGCGGACCTAACAATAAAGGTGTACATGGCAATCCTTCTTGTACCCCTAAAAGGCTGGCTCAGGCTCTGCCTACAGGGGGTTACCGCCCGGAATGGTCCGAGAGAACATCCACACCCACAACACCCACCCAGCTGGGCCAGAAATTTAAACACCCACCACATTACACAATGCAGGGTAAACACAGCCCTCTCCCAGCACTTGTCATGCTGTACTATAAAAATGCAATTACAATTAAAGAATTATGTGTGTGTAATTATCCATTTACTAGCCGTCTCTGTCACTAGAATGCCAGCTTGGGGAGGGCAGGAGCCTTGTCTTGTGCCTGGCACAGAGCAGGTGCTTGGAAACTATTCACTGAATGATGGATTGAATGACAGAGGCAGACCATGAACTCAAATCTTTTACCCCGAGCCTAGTGATCATCACTGTCACGCCACTGTCTTCCTAGGCAAGCCTGGCATTTCCTTTTTTTTTTTTTTTTTTTTAAGATTTTATTTACTTATTTATCAGAGAGAGAGAGAGAGAGAGAAAGAGAGAGTGTACAAGCATGGCGAGCGGCCAGCAGAGGGAGAAGCAGGGTCCCTGCCCAGCAGAGAGCCCAATGTGGGACTCGATCCCAGGACCCCAGGATCATGACCCAAGCCAAAGGCAGGTGCCCAACCGACTGAGCCACCCAGGCGTCCCATGCTTGACATTTCCTTATCTGTGCATGGCTCTGCCTCAAACAATCTGAGTTCTTTTTGTAATGCTATTTTTTTGTCTGATTATAAGTAGTGAAGAAATTAGTTAAAGTTAGAAACTACCAAAAAATATCAAGATGAGTAGAAAAGCTATTTATCATCTCATGATCCAGAAACAATTACTACTGGTGTTTTGATTTTTGCTTTCCACTTTTTAAAAAAAAATACAAGTACACAATTATTGGGGTTGGGTTTGTAGGGGGTACTGCATGTACACGTGTGCATCAAATTCTGTCTCCTGCTCCGTATGCCAGTATTTTAAACTTTATGATGGAGTAGGGAGCCCCCTCACCCCTAGTCACTAGATGTTCTCTGCAAGGTGGGGGCAACATCTGTAAGTATCCAGCCCACAGATGGGAATCGTAGCTGATTTCACCAGTTCTAGGCCCCAAATGTACAGGCTGAGTCACCATCATAGCTGGAAATGAGACCCAAGTTGGAGTGCCCAGAAAACCCACGGAACAGGGGAGCAAGTTCAATCACACCACAAGGGAGCAGACAGCCAGATCTCAAAGGGGAGATATTCCCTCGAACAAAGACCCAGTCTGTCCAACAAATCGTTGGTAAGAAAAAAAGAAGACTGTGTAGAGTCCAGGGTCCCTGAACTTTCTCCGTAAAGGGCCAGATAGTAAATATTTGAGGATCTGTGGGCCGTTATGGGGTGCCTAGAGCTTTGTGTGCAAGCATCAACAAGAGTTCACCGTCATGGTGCCTGGGTGGCTCAGTGGGTTAGCCTCTGCCTTCAGCTCAGGTCATGATCCCAGGGTCCTGGGATCGAGTCCCGCATCGGGCTCTCTGCTTAGCAGGGAGCCTGCTTCCCCCTCTCTCTCTGCCTGCTTCTCTGCCTACTTGTGATCTCTGTCAAATAAATAAATAAAATCTTAAAAAAATAAAATAAAATTAAAAAATTTTAAAAAGAAGGAAGTCATCTGTTCTTCCTTCTAAAAAAAAAAAAAAAAAAAAAAGAGTTCACAATCATGCTAGCTAACACTCAGATACAACCGCCTGTGTGCCAGACTGTGACACTGGCCTCATGTCATATTCGTTTTTGTCCCTACGACAGCTTGATGAACTGGGGCTCTCGTAACCTCCATTTCACACAAGTGGAAGCACAGGCCCAGACAGATGAAATTACCAAAAGCGAGATCACAAGGTGATGGAGAACGAATACGAGTTAATGTTCAATCAGGGCCCGTGTTGGCTTACTTCATCTTTCTAACAGCGCCCTGAAGGAAACGCGGTTTTCACTCTGTTTTCCAGATGGGGAAATGGAAGCACAGAGAGGGGAGGTGATGTGCCCAAGGTCCTACAGCTACTGGGTTGCAGAATGGGATTCAAGCTCCTGAGTCTGGGTTCTTACCAGCCCTCCCCTGTGGTGGTGGTTACATTGCCTCCTGCAACGAAAGTTCTATGGAGGGCTTTGAATTCTAGAATACTCCAGGAAAGATTTCCTTTTAGCTTAGGGGCGCCTGGGTGGCTCAGTCCAGCATCTGCCTTCAGCTCAGGTCATGATCCTGAGGTCCTGGATGGAGCCCTGCTTCGGGCTCCCCGCTCAGTGGGGAGTCTGCTTCTCCCTCTGCCCCTCCCCGCAACTCATGCAATCTCTCTCTCTTAAATAAATAAAACCTTAAAAAAAAAGATTTCCTTTTAGCCTAAATTTCCATTTATGTAATTCAAAAAGGTAGCCTGAAATCTCTTCCTCCCATCCCAGTGCTCTGGTTCCCAGTTCTTGGATGCACATGAGCTGCCCCTGTTACTAGATGTTTCCATATCCTTCTGGAGTTTCTTTGGGCAAACCTAAGTGTATATTCTTATTCATATATATATATATATATATTTTTTAAAGATTTTATTTATTTATTTGAGAGAGAGAGCATGAGCGAGGAGAAGGTCAGAGAGAGAAGCAGAATCCCCGTGGAGCTGGGAGCCCGATGTGGGACTCGATCCCGGGACTCCGGGATCATGACCCGAGCCGAAGGCAGTCGTCCAACCAACTGAGCCACCCAGGCATCCCTATTCATATATATTTTTATACATTCCTGCAGGGGCCAGCAAACTCTGAGTCACAGGCCAGATCTGGCCCATCACCGACTTTTGTCAGCCAGGTCTTAATGACGGTCACATTCATTCCCGTAAGCTCACTGGCTGCTTCCAGGTGGAGCTGAGGGCGCTGACAGTGACTCTGTGCCTGCAGATTACTTCCTGTCTGGCCCTTCAAGAAAACATTTGCTGAGCTGCGAACTAAAGGAAGCAGCCAAGCCCACTTCTCTGTCATTCGCTCTTCCCCCTGAGCCCCGTATCCCAGAGATATTGCCACAGCAGAGCGTAAGGAACGCGTCCGTCCCTTCTCACAGCTGCATAGTGCTCTGCCACATGACTGTGCTCTATGTTTTGAGACGTCCCCACTGTGAGATTTTCGGGTGGTTGCTAACAGTTCTTGTCCCTCCTGCCAACAGTGCTGTGATCTGAGATACTCGCCACTTCCCACATGAGTGGGATGTTTGGAGGATACATTTCCAGCAATGTTTTTGCCCACTCTGGGTTCCCAGGACAGTGGGGAGTATCTGTCACTGAATTCCCTGAAATTAAATGCAGAAGGTGGCATACCTGTGGGTATTTTTCTGAGCAGAGCCTCAAAGGGCAACCCTGTGGTTGGACCCGGGCCCTAAAGGTGGGGATTGGGGTTTGGTTCTGGGGCCCAGGCTGGGCACTAACCAAGGTCATCGGCGAGCCTCCGGCCATCCTCAGTAGGCACGACCCGCTCATCTTCCAGGTCACACTTGTTTCCCACCAGGATCACCTGAGCGTTGTCCCAGGAGTAGGTCTTGATCTGCGTGGCCCTGTGGAGTTTGAGGGCCATGAGGCTAGAAATGGGAGAGTCAGGGGGATAGGGTGAAGGTCAGGGTGTCAGTGGTCTGCAAGCACTCACCAGTCCTGCACGGCAGCGAAGGACTCCTGGTTGGCCACGTCATACATGAGCAGGAAGCCCATGGCTCCACGGTAGTAGGCTGTGGTGATGGTGCGGTAGCGCTCCTGGCCCGCCGTGTCCTAGACACACAGCAGGGTCAGGCCACCAGCAGCTACCCTGTTCCCCACGCCACCCCTGCAGGGCCCTAAGCGGGCCACCACCCTGTGCTCACAGCCCTAGCCTGACGGGAGGCATGGCCCTGCCTCTGTGGAGTTCCCAGTCTGAGGGGTCAGTGGCCTCTCACAGACTTGGACCTCATCTCGAAGAACAGACTCCATGACCCCATACAAGTGCCACCTGGGCCAGAGAGTACGGTCTCCATGCTGACACCCCGGTGCGCGATACCCCACTCATCATCATCGGCGGCCATGTTGGGAGCGAGAGCATGTCTCTGAGGAGCACACAGGTCTGTGGGGGATCCTGCGATGGGACCCACACCTCTTCCCCACTGGTCACCAGGACTTCTAACCCGCCTTGGGTTAGCAGCTGTCTGCCCCTCAGACCCTATAGGGCAGAGCATAGTCTCCTCATCCTGATGAAGTCACCTCATAGATAATCCGCCCCTCCGCCACTCTTCACACCTACCCCAATCCCCCTCCCTGACTTTGGGCCACTCTCACTCCCCAGGACCCCTCCCCACAGTCCTCCACCCTGTCAGGGATGTCTCTGGAAGAACCCCAGCCCCTCCTGGACCAGCACAAAGACCCCTGTCCCTTTGCCCCAGATCCACAACGGCCGCCTGGCCCACCCAGATCTGCAGCTTGATCCTCTTGTCATGGCGATAGACCGTCTTGACCTTGAAGTCGATGCCCACAGTGCTGACAAAGGCAGGTGTGAAGGAGTCGTCCGCGTAGCGGAACAGGAAGGACGTCTTGCCCACGCTGCTGTTGCCGATAAGCAGTAGCTTGAACATGTAGTCGAAGTTCTGGTCAGCTGCATCCCGCGGGCCTGTCGGGGGGTCTCCGGCTGATGCCATCTTGGCAGAGAACCTCTGGAGGGGAGGGCGGGGAGGGCTGGAGCCCTGAAGAAAAATAAAACACAAGCGTATAGGCCAGACCTGGATTCAAATCCTGACTCTGCTCCTTGGAGGCCAAGTGACCTCAGAACATCCCTTGCTCTCTCTGGTCTTCAGGGTCCTCCTCTGGAAAATGGGGATGCTTATCCAATGCCAGGACCCAGGCTGTGGGGTGCACATGGGGTGCCTCCTCTGGCCACTGAGGAGCCAGACCCTGCAGAAGGTACAGGTGTGGACTTTGCCCCAGAGTGAGCAGCTGGCTTGGCCCAGGTGTGGGCTGGGGGGAGGGGGGCCTGCCAGCTGGCTAGAGCCCCCCCTCATGGCCTGGGTGTTGACTTTGGCAGGGATACCTGCCCTGACCACCCCCCCCACCGCAATGCTGAGTTTAACCCCATCCCTGGCCTCCATAGGGAAGGGGGTTTTAGCGGATAAAGCCCGGGTTTAAAGCCCAGCTCTAGCCCCAAATGGGTCCTGCCACCTTCTATTTGTCAAAGGGGTGGGCCCCATCTCCCTCAGGGCAGGGCTGACTCACCCCAGCCCCAACCCACAGAGGCTGCAGTGACAGTCCTCAACTCTAAGGAAGCCGCACTCCCCTCTACCCCTGATCTTCCTTTCCTGTTAATCTGAAGAAGCTGGGCTGCTTCATCAGGGTCCTTAGCCCTCACCGCCTCCCTAGGCCTCAGTTTCCCCAGCTGTCTATGGCCACGCCTTAATCTGCACAGGGAGGGTCCAGGAGGCCTGGGTGAACTGAGGGCACAGTGGCAGAGGAACCCTTAGCAAAGCTATTTCTCAACAGCCTGTGGGGCTTTTTTCCATTTTAAAAGAGGACCGAACCTGCCCGCTTTCCTGCCCAGCCCTCAGCCCCACCCGGTGTTCCGGGAGAACGAGTTCGAGGAGGGGAAGACAAGAGGCAGGAAACCTTTCCCCATGCTGGGCAGGGCTGCCAGACTGGGGCCCTTTCCCCAGGCCCAGCCCCAGCCCACCTGTCAGCCGGTCCCACCTCTTCCTGACCATCTGGCCACCGTCCCTCACGCCTGGCACTAGATAAGGGTCCCCGGAGGGCTCGGCCCTGTCCCCCTGCTGGATGTGGGGCGCCCCCGCCAGTGCAGGGGGGCTCAGGAGCTTCTTCCCATCGCCATATGGTCCCATCTCCTGTTCCCAGCTGGGCTCTCTGCCCCGCCCGCGCCCCATTAACGCTCCCCGAGCAGCCCAGCTGGGTGGGGGCGAGGGAAGGAGGCGTTCCCCCACCGCCCGCCTTTGTTCCCCGGGCCCCGGGCCCACCCTCTAGCCCCCGGCCCCCCCCTCTAGCCCCCGGCCCCCCAGAACTGCTGGGACGCGGAGGTGCGGGGCGGGATGCGGTCCCTCGGAAGGGGTTACCTCGCGTCGGGGGGGCTCTGCCCGCGGGCGTTCCTTCTTCGAACTCGCTGCGGTCTGGCCCCAGCCGCGACGCCGACCCCGCAGCCGCCGCCGCCGCCGCCACCGCCGCCGCCACCGCCGCCACCGCCGCGGCTCGCAGCCACCCGGATCCCGCGCGGGCTCCGCCCAGGCTGGGGAGGAGGGGCGGCTCCCCGGAGAGGGCGGGGCGGGGCGGGGCCGGTCCGGGGCGGGGCTCCCGAACGCGGGTCGGGGGGAATGGGGGAGGGGCTGGACGCTGCACGGAGCTGGGAGCAACCTAGGGCCCGGCCCCCAACAATAAACTTTTCACTTTTCCTAACTATGTGTAGAGCTCCTACTCTTTGGACTCAAATGAAGAGCATGGATTCTGGAGTCAGGTTCGAATCCCAGCTCCCCCACTTTCTAGCGCGGTTTAACTTTGGACGTGCTACTTAACCTCGTGGGGCCTATTGCCCCCATCCCTCCAGCAGTCCCTAACAAGAATCCCTACCTCACAGGCCTGTGCGAGCTAGGCCCCTGCGGGCTAGGTCCCTAAAGCGGACTAGGTCCCTGCGAAATACTCCGCAGGTCCCTTAGAATTGAACCTTTTCCAGATAAGGAAATGGAGCCTCAGAGAAAGGCACCTCTTTGCCTGAGACCAGACACAACGAGGAAATTTGGCATCCGGCCTTACGTGAGGCCCCAGAATTTTCTTCAAGGCATGAGAAGATCTGCAGGCTTTGCTGGAGTCAAATCCCAATGACTACATCTGAAGCCACTTGCTGAGCTTCTCTGGGTCCCCGTTGCTTCGTGGGAACAATAGTAGCTCCCCCCAAGAGCCACACAGATGTATGGAGATGACATGCATCGGGAAGGGCCAGCATATGATCAGTAACAGGCAGCCCCACAGTCTCCATGGCACTCAACGGCGGAGATGTGCTTCTCACTCACACAGGTCGTGGGGAAGGAAAAATGTAGCTCATCACACTCTGCCTTGCACATTTCTCTTTGAAAGTGACTCTTCAGGGGCACCTGGGTGGCTCAGTGGGTTAAAGCCTCTGCCTTCGGCTCAGGTCGTGATTCCAGGGTCCTAGGATTGAGACCCGCATCAGTCTCTCTGCTCAGCGGGGCGCCTGCTTCCCTTCCTCTCTCTCTGCCTGCCTCTCTGCCTACTTGTGATCTCTGTCTGTCAAAAAACTAAATAAAATTAAAAAAAAAAAAAAGTGACTCTTCACACTTCCTTGGCCACAGCGAGTCCTGTGGCCATCCCCAGTGTTGATGGGGTGGAAAACAGGATTGTCCCCTGGGGCTCAGAACTGGCTATTGTTACTGTAATATAGTAATGTGTCATGGTTAGTGCCCTGCCTGGCACACAGCAGGTGCTCAATAAAGGCGCACCGTTACAGGAAGAGCTTGGGGTGTGCAACAGCTAATACCCCTGATCATGCCGCATGTTTGTGGTAATGAAGGCCCTTGGCTCTACCTTTGCCCGCCCCTCTTGCCCACTTTCCAGCTGGAGAAAAATGACAGCAGCCCTTTCCAAAGAAGTGTTTATTCACATCTGGGGCCTCAGCAGGGCCCGAGAGGAAGTGGGCGTTAGAGGCTCCCAAGGCCCAGGGCAAGGCTTGCAAGGCAGAGCCCATTGCTCAGGAGACAGCCCAGATTGCAAATGGAGGACAGGCCATGGTAGCGGAAAAAGGTCTGGCGGAGGACACTGTACTTGGGGTCCTTCTCCCGCAGCTGGCGGTAGGGGTCGGGGCCCTGGTGGCTTCCAGGTACCTCCCCGCCCAGACCCCGATCCTTCTCCACCTTGTGAAGGGCCCACATGGCAGCTGTGGTGCGGGGCTCCAGCCAGCGGGCGTTGACGGCGGCCAGTGAGAGGCTCAGGAGCATCAGGCAGAGCTGACAGGGTGGTGGGAGGAGAACAGGGTTGAGTAAGGCTGGGGAGGCAGGAAGGAAGGGTCCCAGGGAGGGTCCTCCTGCATCCTCAAAGCCCAGAGGGGGATGAGACAGCATTAGATTAGATTAAAGCTAGGCCTCCCTGTCCTTCCCCAAACCCACTCTAGAGGCCCCAAACAGAGCTCCAGCTTTCAAACCAGCAGCTCCCAAGGAAAGGTTCCATCACCATCTCCTCTATTCACCCCCTCACCCAAAACCTTCTGAGCCTTTCCTCCTCTGATACCCAGACTGGAAGTTACCAAACACAGCCTTGTCTCCACCCTGGGCGTATCTCTCTGGCTAGAACCTCTCTTCCCCAGATTGGGACAGAGCACCATAACTCTTTCCTCCCAAAAGAGCCTAAGACAGGGCCCATCTCCTCAATGGTCCCTGCCAGACTCCAGAAGCTGAGATTGGGCCCACAGGGAGTGAACAGAAAGTCCTTGAAGTTCTAGTTACCCCAAATCCTCTCTGTCTCTTTGGGATTATTCTTGAAACCCTTGTCAAGCCTTTCCTGCCCGCATCTGAGGAACATAATGGGGGCAGGGGAAAGGCAGGATAGAGAAATATGAGATGCAAAGATGGTTCCCTTCCTTGTGGCTGGGGAAATGTGCGGGGGACTGTAAATTCCCAGTCAGCCTGGTTTTTAAACAATGAGCTGGGGTCACTGCCCCAACCTAGCTGAGTCACCACAACTTGGCAGCAGGCCCAGCCAGGGGAAAGAGAGGGAGCAGCAGCCAGCAGGGAGACACTGAGGAATAGATTGGGCTGCTAGGGATAGTTGTGCAGGCTGTGCACTGCTCAAGGGTATCCAGAGCCCAGCTTTGTTTCCACCAGGAAGGTGCAGTTGCTTGTTTGTTTTTTAATTCTCACAAAGGTGTAGCCATAGGTACTCAGTGGGGTCCTGGGAACGGATGTCCAGAAGACAGTGGAGCCCAAGCCCGCATACCTGGCTGGCCTCCCAGAATGTGAGCTGAGTCCAGGCATGTTGTGAAGCCAAGATGCAGAGGTTGATGAAAGCACAGCCCATGGAGATGTTAAAGTAGAAAGGGAAGAGTTTACTCTGCACAAGGCCAAAGGTATGTCGGGGAAGGCTTCGGAAAAGCAGGAAGCCTGTAGGGTATAGGGAACCACATGCCTGTTAGGACACTTCCAGGTCTCCTTTCATTCTTGTCTACACCCTGGGTACCCATGATGTTCAGGTGGAGGGTCCCTACCTGAGATGAAGGTCACCCACATTTGCATGCCCCAGGCCCCCGACAAGACCAGTAGATGGACCATCTTAGTCAGGCTTCCTGGATTCCCACCTTCCTCCATCTTGCAGGCCTGGAAAAGAGGCATCGGGTCTTTCAGAGTTTTACCTTTGCCCCATGGTCTTCAGCCTGTGACCCTGCTTAAGGGCAGGATCACAGCTAACCCAGCAGAGATAAAGGGCTACCAGCCCGGGATTGCGGGTGGGGAAAACCCAGAACAATCCTGAGACAACCTCCAACCCCACCTCTCCAAATGTCAGCCCTCAAGATCTCATGCTCTCTGGACCCCAGCATCCACGCCGTCACCGAGACCCAAAAATTTCAGTTAGCCCCAGCAGCTCAAACTCGCAGCTCTGGGTATTCAGATATCCCCCCATTGACTCCCCAAAACCAGCCCAGTGACCTAATTCTAACAGTAAAGACCCCTGGTCACATCTCAGGGTCCCAAATATCACCAGAAATATCCTCAAAACACCTCCGGACACCCCATCTAATCCCGGGAAACCCCAAATCTCATCCCGAGGACACCGACCCTGTCACTGCACCCAGACCTCAACCCTCAGCACCCTGGAGTCCGAGAACAGAAGTGCTGGGCCAGATCTCGGGTGCCGGGTGGGCTAGGCTCACTACCTCACTCCTGTGCTCGCAGGTGGGCCGCGGACTTCTTCAGTCCTCTCCCAAGCATTCATCCCGCCTCCCACTGAGCCCGAAGCCAATTGGATCGTAGATCTGCCGCCTCCCGTACCACCCTCTTAGATATTGACTAATCGATTAGCGGAAAACAGCCTGGAATCCCGCCCCCTAGCCTGACTTTTATCCAATTACGCCGCGGCTCCTAAGACCTGCGGAAACAGGAAGGCGCCAATAAGGCCTTTGGCTGCATCGGCGGGGGCGGAGCTAAAGTGTCAGCCCCACCCTTCTCTGTGACTCTACCTTCAGGCTTCGCGCGTTTTAATGCGATGGTGTCCCCACGGGATCAAATTTCAGCGTCACAGCTGGGGACTGGCTTCGCGGTCCCTGAGGGGAGAGCATGAGCAGGTGGTATGTGGTAGGTGGGGGTGGAAGAGGGTCTGGAGCCCGGCGGGCGCAGGATTCTCGCCCCGGGGGGCGGGGCTCAGATTAATGACCCCGCCCCCTTCCCTCCAAGAATTCTCTTGGAGACAGCGGGAGAAAACACCTGACGCGGGAGGGGAAAGGGGAAGAAGAGAAGGGGGCTCGACTGGGGACCTGCCTGCAGTTGGCGCTCAGAAATGCATCTTCTCTTTTCCCTTTCAAGCCTCCCAGGGCTCCTCTGGTCCCATTTCCCAGGTTCTCAGTGTGACGTTAGAGGGCACTTTCCCAACACTGTATGTCAGGCGCTGGCATAGGTTAATTTACTTAATCACAACAACCCAGTAAAGTGGCTGGTGTGGCATTCCATTTATACAGCTGGGGACACTGAGGCATGGACAGGTTTGGTAAAATGCCGACATCACACAGACGGGAAGGGGCAGAGCAAAGATTCGAACCCAGGCTACTCAGCTGGAGAGTCCCCTGGCTTAATCATCATGTTGTACTGCCTCTGGAAGTGCAGGCTTCCTGAGACAGTGATTCTGGAAGGGGTAGCCCAGAACATTACGGGCAGAAGAAAAGCTCCCAAATCATAAGACGAGTGTGAAGTGAGTGCTTGGGATAATGCCCAGCACTCAGTGAGGTGCTCAGAAAATAAAAGCTTAAAAAATTGATAAAGGAAGATTTTATAGAGCTGAGTTTCCTCCGGTTCCCAGCCTCAGCTAGCACAGGGCTTCGACTCCAGTTCTCCTGACATTTACTAAATAGATATGCCTTGCCTCTCCTGCTTATACTCCATGGCTCCCACTTTATCTGGGGGGGCAGATCTAAATTCCCCAGTTTGGTTTTCAAGGTCTTGCTTGAGTTGACCTGCTAACCTCCTCCTGCTTCCTCTTGGACCCTACTACCTTCAGCCATCCCGAATTTACCAGCACACAGCATGTGGTTCCACACCTCCAAGCTTTTGTCCATGCTGTTTCCTGCCAGGAATGCCTTTCCATTAGTGCCCAGTGTTAAGATCCTTTTTTGCTTTTAGGCTGTTCTGAGGCCTCACTTTCTCCTGTGGGGGTCTTCTGGATCCTTCTCACTACCCAGCCCAGTGCCTGGGGCTGGGATCATCTTTCATCCAGCTCCTGCTCCTGCCATAACTGGGAAGCCCTGTGTTCAGGGCTGAGGCCTCTCTGGGGTATTAGGGAAGGTCTGGGGGTGTCAGGACTTGGGGGCTGGTCTCAGTGCAGCCCCCTGTTTCCCCCTGTTGAAGCGACCCTCTTCTGGCTGGCCTACCCCAGGACCCTGACTACTCTGTGCCCTGCTACTGCTCATCTCCCTTGCCCTCCAATGGGTGTTTGCCTGCTAACGGGAAGTGTGACAAGTATTGGGGTTTGTTGAGCGGCTTCCCTGGGGCTGGGGAGCTGGGAGGGGCTGGAGTGGCTCTGGGTTGGTCCTCAGAAAGCCCTCACCCCTTCATTCCCCCAACCACCCCCCCTGTTCAGGCTCTTCCTCAGACAAGACCTTGAATTATACAATTCACTGGTCCAGGACCCCAGAGCCAGAGATCGTGGGGCCAGCTTCTTCTGAGAACACAGTGCCGAGTATAGACTGGACGCTAGAGAGGGACTTGGAGCCTCAGGCGTATGGGTCTCCCATCTTCCAGAACCCAGACTCGCGGGAGCAGTGTAATGATCAGGACCTTCTGAAGAGGCATCACAACACCACTAAGGTCACCCGCACCCGGGAAACACCTCCCAGCCATATTCTACCGCTGTGGGGCTTAGGGGACCCCGGGGGGGGGTCTTTCTCAGGAACCCTTATGATGTGTGACTTCAGCACCCAGAAGAGCACCCAACGCTCAGCCAGCCCACATTAAAAATGTCTTAAATGAATGGATGAAGGGATGAATGGAGCGGATGTGTGATTGTGTTTCTTAGTGAGTGATACTTCCTGTGACAGTTTCTGGACTTGACTGCCTGTGGGTCTGTGGTTATGGCTGCGTGTCTCAGTTGAGTGTGAGTGGATCCTCTGAGGTTCTTAACCACCTGGAGTGCATGGCTGTGTCTGAGCTTGCCTGGCCGTAGTTGTGTTTCAATGCTTATGTGCCGTTGTGCTTCGGGGCCGTGGGAGCTCCCTGGAGACGTCGTCTATGTCGTTTGCCCTTAAGGAGGAAGGCCATTACCTGAGCCCAGTCCAGACACAGGGCTCTGCAGATGTGTTGTTGGGGGCAGCCTCCATGTCTGCACACACAGGGGACAAACCACAAGAGTATACTTCTGACCATGTGTGGGCTAGTGGGGGAGGGGTGCACTCGGGGTCTGGGACACCCAGGACTCAGCAGACCCAGCTCACACCCAACCCCACACAGTGGGTTGGGGTGTGCGAAGAGAAGCACAGGGATGAATTTCCACTACCCACATGTTCTCCTTTCCTAGAAGCCCTTGGAGACCAACTCTTCCAAAGTCAAAGGTGAGAACCTTCTCTCCCGACAAGACTATGTTTGGAAGACCCTCTGGTTTTACCCCCACCCTCTGTCCCAGCCTGGGAGGAGCTACACCACCCGTGCCCACTTAGCCCTCCCCCAGCCTCAGCTGAGTCTTGCTGACTACTGTCTCTCCCTCAACCTCAACAGACCCCAACTCCTCGCCCTCCCCTGAGCTTCTGCTGGTCTCTGACCTGAACTTGCCCCTGCCCCCACTCCTCCTAGCCTCAGCTGACCCTTACCTCTGCTCATAGTTAAGTCCACCATGATGATTCCTGACTACCAGAAGCTCCTGCGCTGCGAACTGGAGTCACTCAAGTCCCAGCTACAGGCCCAGACCAAGGTGAGGCTCCTCTGCCCTGCCCTGGGCGACCTCTGGCCCTGTTCCCCCACATCTGCTCCTGCCCCCAAGCTTGACCTCTTCCCCGCAGGCTTTTGAGTTCCTGAACCACTCAGTGACCATGCTGGAGAAGGAGAGCTGCCTGCAGCAAATCAAGATCCAACAGCTTGAAGGCGAGGACCGGCCAGGGGTTAAAGTCAGGCTGGAGGCTGGTCCTGCTGGTGTCAGCTGGGTTAGCCCAAAGTGAAAGAAGTTGGGTGGGTCTCCGGTCAGGGTCAGGGTCAGGTTCTGGTCAGGGTTAGGGCCAGCTGCATTCAAAGGTGGGCTCATGTGTGGTTGGGGCTCAGTCATGATCCCATCTAATTTGCAGAGGTTCTGAGTCCTATAAGCCGCCAGACAGAGAAGGAGGGACACAAGTGGGGTGTGGAGCAGGGACGCCAGGAGCTGTATGGGGCCCTGGCTCAAGGCCTGCAGGGGCTACAGAAGACCCTGCGTGACAGCGAGGAGGTGCAGAGGACCCGCACCACTCACTGCCTGCAGCTGCTGGCCCAGGAAATCCGGGACAGGTGGGCGTCACCAGGAGGGCAGCCTGGAAGCTGTGGGAGAGAAGGAAGGCCAAGGAGAGGGAGCCAAAGGGGGGATGTGGGATGAGACAAATGGGAGAGGCCTGAGTAAGGAGCCCTGGGGGCCATGGAAGGTTTGAGGGACAAGATGGGGGGATGAGGAGGCAGTGGGGAAGTGTGGGAAGCTGGGAGGCCAGATGGCAGGAGGAAGGAGGAGGGAGACTGGAAGCTGGAGATGAGATGGGGAGGGAGGCCAGGAGATCAGGAAACTGGACGTGATATGGGAAGCTGGAGGGAGGAGAGACTGAGGTTGGCAGAGGCTGGGGAGTTTGGGAGGTCAGAGGGGCAGAAGGTGGGGAGACAGAGGCCAGACAATGAGAGGCTGAGAGAATGGGAGGCTGGAGGTCAGGAGGAGGGGACAGGGGCTGGGAGATTGGAGGTGGGGAAGTAGAGGCAGGAGGGGCAAGGTGGACAGGCAGGTTGGGGGAGGGGACAGATCCTAGGGGGATGGGAACATGACAGTTGGAGGAGGCTTGAGGAGGCAGGTGGGCAAAAGGGAGACCAGAAGACCAGGAAATAGAAGGCCAAAGGCTGAGCAGGGAATGTGGGTCTAGGCTGCACTGTCCCCTCAGCAAGAAGTTCCTGTGGGAGGAGCTGGAGCTGGTGCGGGAGGAGGTGACCTTCATCTATCAGAAGCTCCGTGAGTGCCTGGAGCCCACGGTCAGGAGGGGGTTCTCTCTGCTGCTCTGGCCCCCCTGAGTCCCCTCCCCCTACAGAGGCTCAGGAGGACGAGATCACAGAGAACCTGGTGAACATCCAGAAGATGCAAAAGACACAGGTGAAGTGCCGCAAGGTGAGTGGAGAGGGCGGGGACCCTATGTGAGTTGGGACATGGGACTCTCTGCTGGCCTCCACTGTCATACTGGAGCCAGAAGGACTGGGTTCAAATCTCGGCTCTGCCACTTAGCAGCTGCGGGACTGTGGTCAAGTCATTTCACCTCTCTGGGCCTCAGTTTCCTCATCCGTATAGTGGGTATGAACAGCTGCATGGACTGCGTGCAAAACACTTTGAGGGCCGCCTGACATATCATCAGTGCTAAATAAGGGTCGCTTTTCACCATTCTGGTTCTTACCACTGTTGTCTCACACACACTTCCCACCCCTGGCCTTAGGTCCTGACCAAGATGAAGCAGCAGGGGTATGAGTCATCCAAATGGCCGGAGACCGAGGAGGTGCCATCAGGAGGCAGTGGCTCCTGGAGGGATGACCTCCAAAAGGAGCTGAGCGACATATGGTGATGCCCCGCCCCCACTCTAACCTCTGACTCCTGACCTTCAACTGCCTTGCCTTCCCACCAATCAGATCCAGCGGTGACTACCAGAACTGGAACCCACCCAGTCCGGGCCTCCCTCTCCCCCTGGGACTCACCTCCACCACCACACCCCCCCCCCCCCCCCCCCCCCCCGCCCATGGTCCCCGCCATGCCCCTCCCCCTGCCCAGGACCCCCAGCTCCCTGTCTCCCTGCAGGTCCGCTGTGCACATGCTGCAGAACTCCTTTGATGGCCTCATGTCCTCTGGGGGCTGCCCCAGGGCCTCGAACCTCAAGGGTGAGGGGGGATGAGGGGCACTCTGGGCTGTACGGGGGTCATTCTCCAGTTTCACACATGGCGGTCAGGTTCAGAGGCTGTATTTGGGGGTCACATCTGTTGGGGTGTTTTGGGTCCCATTAAGATTTCCATCCCAGGGTAACTCAGGATCACTGGGATCTTTTTAAAGGATCTGTGCAGTAAAATTCAAGGGTCCCTGAGGTCGTCATACTTTGGTATCACCTTGGTTCACATTCAAGTGATGTAAGGGACATAGGCCCCTGATCACGATGCCACTCAAGGGTCACATTCAGGGTCTGTGGGTGAAGAGCCAGAATTGCACCTGTTGCTCCCGCAGGCTACAGGGGGCACCAAGGCCTGAGCCCTCTGTTCCCCTCGTGGGACTCAGACTCAGACTCAGACCAGGACCATTCCCAGCCACTCTTCATCAAAAGCCACTCCTTCCCATCTGGTACGGAACCTCCCCTGCCCTACCCCACCCTTTCTCTCCTGGCTTGCCCTCCAGTGCCACAGAAGGACCCTTGAAGCTCCCAACCTGGGCATCTGCTCCCTGATTTCCAGCCCTCGGGTCCTCAGGACTAAGCTGGGCCCTGACCCACTCTCTCTCCACAGCCTGAGCAGCCGGGACTGCTCTCCCTGAAGACCCCTCCAGAGAGAAAATAAACTAGCCAAGACCCTCTTCCACCTGTGGACTGTTGCTCCTGCTGCTTCCTGTGCCTGAGAATGACCACCCTCACACCCAGTTTCCTTTCCAGTGTTGGGGAGGGTGTGGGGACCCCAGATGCTGTAGGCTTAGGGGACAGTGTGAGGCCAGATTTAATAATAACAAGGTCAGGGGTCAGTCTGTCCAGATATGAGGATCCAGAGGGCCCTGGCGCTCTAGTCTACTGCCCCAAAGGGGAAACTGAGGCACAAGGAGGGAGGGTCGAGGTCCAGGGTCACCCTCGCACCCTGCCCTCCTCCTCCCCTCTGCGCCCCCACCGCCTAGTTCTCCCTCAACCTGCATCCTTCATTCCCTCCCAAATTTGTCCTAACACTTTTCGGCCCCACCAAGAGCAACAGAGGCCCCGCCCGGGACCATGCTAATGAGACGCCGCGAGTCCCCGCCCGACTGGGTTATGCAAATGAAGTGCCAGGAGGCCCCGCCCCTCGCCCCTTCGCTGAGTCTGCGCGGCTCTGCCCGGCCGACGGCGTCTCCCATCTCCGTGTCCGCCCGCGGGGCCTGCCGTCCGTCAGTTCGTCCTGTCGCCCGGGTGACATCTAAGCGGAGCGGGGGCTCAGACCGTGACAGCCTCGACCCGGTGAGGGAGAGGGGCTTGGGGCGCTCCCGGCATCCCCTCTCGCGGGCTACCGACCCTCGGTCTGTATGGTTCGGCCAGGGTTCGGCTCCTGCGGGTCGGGTCCCTTGTGGGTCCGGCGCAGGGAGGGGGAAGGGAGGCAGTGAGCTGGGGCTTGAGAACCGGCCTCGGGGAGGGGAGCGTGGAGATGGGGACCCCGGGCCGGTGAAGCCAAGCGGCAGGTGGTGAGGGTGACTGTGATTGTGTGCTTGTCATTTTGTGTCAGTGTGTGGTTGTGTAACTGTGATTGTGTGGCTCTGGGGATGCCTGTGTGGTAGATGGTCTGTGTGGTGGATGTGTGACTCTCCTGTGGCTGTGATTGTGTGGCTGTCATCACGGGTGTCACTCTGAGGGTGTGTGTGGCTGTGTTGTTGTGACTGCTATCCCTGTGACTGTGTGAGGCTGTCTCGGTGTCTGTACAGTTGTGTGCATATGACTGCCATTGTGTGTTCCTTCTGATGGTGTGTGGGGGCCCATTTCTATGTCTCAGTGTGTGGCTGTGATCATGCGCCTTTCTTGTGTGGCTCGGTGTGCAAATCCGTGTCGCGGTCCACGTATGTGCCCTTGTGGTGGCCATGTGGCTGAGCTCGTGGATGACATCGTCTCTCCTGTGAGTGTCAGTGTGGCTGAGACACTGTGAATATGTGTGGCTGTCGCTGAGTGCCTGGTTGTTGGGGGTGTGACACCGTGACCGGTTTATGACCCCCATTGTGTGTGGTGACTCTTTTTGATGTAACTCTTCCATGTGTTGGCAGCCCTGAGGCTCTGTCCCTGGTGACAGGGGGGTGAGCGCTGGTGTGGGGCTGTATGCGGGGCTGTGAAGTGTTTGAAGGACCTCCCCTTGTGTCCCTGTGACTGTGTGTGTGGGGGGGAGTTGTTTGATCTGTGTGGGTGTCTGTGACAGGCCGTGTGCACACTGTGCCATGTGTGTGAGTGTACAGTTGTGTGTTGTGGGTGTTGGGCACCTGTCTGAATGAACAGGCCTGTCTTGTTCACCACCAGCAAAGTGCCTGTAACCCAGCAGGCACTGGCTCCTTGTTGGTGGGATGGACAAATTCTGTACTCTGTGTGTGTGTGTGTGTGTGTGTGTGTGGTGGTGGTGGTGGTTGGGATGGAGGCCGTGGCTGAGTTGTATACTCTAGGGACGCCGGCATGTGTGATTGTGTCTCTGGAAGGGTGAGGGGCCGTGGCCACGTGGGCATCTGAGATCTCTGGTGACCCTCGCCCCGCATGTCACACTGCAGAGCAAGCTGCGTGGATGGGGCACTGGACCCAGAGTGCCTACCCTCACCTTCCTGGGCCTCAGTTTCCACATCTGTGCAATGGGGTTGACCATCCCTGCCCTGCTGGCCGCCAGGAGCGGCTGTGAGTCTGTGGGTGTGGCGGAGGCCTGTGGGAAGCCATAGGGCCCTTTCACAGGTGAGGTCAGCCTGGGAGAATGGGTCGAGCAGGTGTGGCTCTGTTGGCCCCTCAGTGCTGGGGACTGAGGTTCGATTGGGGGAAGAGGAGGCTCGTGGGGAGAAGATAGCCCTCTTGTGAGACAGCAAGGCCGACAGTCTGGGAGGAGGGGAAGTAGGGGAGGCATCTGGGTTCGGAGGGCCTGGCCATCAGCCCGAACCAGTCAGGCAGAGCCCATGGGGACAGGAAAGAGAGGCCCCTGTGGGCCATGGGGAAAGGGACTCAGAGGAGGAATTTGGTGGGGGTGGGGGACACAGAGCATGGGGTCCCTTATAAAGTATTTGAGGAAAGAGGATGGGGTCCCCTGAAAACCCTTGGGGGTGAGAACCCTTCTAAGTGGGCCCTTCTCTGTGGGGGAGGGGTTCTGTTTAGCTGGAGAAGTCTCTTCCAAGGGCTGAGGGGAGGTGACCTGTGTAGTAAGAAGGAGAGATCCTCCTAAAAGGCATGAGGTCTGAATCTCCTATGTGGGCTGTTGGGGGAGAAAACCACTGTAGAGCCTCTGGGATCTGGGCTGGGGATGGGCTGAGCTGCTTGTGTCGGGAGGCCTCCAAAGGGCAGGATCCTAGACATTCAGAGTCATGGCCAGAAGGCGCAGTGGGTGGAACCAGGGCTCCTTTGTAGTAGTTCTGGGGCGGGGGTGGGGATGGGGGTCATGGTGTGGCCAGAGGACTCTACTCAGGCAGGTGACTAGAGCCTCCCCCAGGCCCCGCCCTGGCGGTCCCATTCCCTTCCCACGGTCCACAGGCCCAGCCTTCACCATGGCAGGAGGGAGACCTCAATCGAAGAGGAGTTTCTCCATCATTCCCTGCTTTGTCTTCGTGGAGGTGAGGAACCCAGTAACTCTCTCCCCACCCCCACCCCCGCCCATCTGCACCCCAGACTCGCTCCCAGACCCTCAGCGGGGAGGAGGCACGATCAGAAGTGACACTCCCAGGGTTCCAAGCCTGCTCTGTCCACCCTTAGCGCAGAACTCTGGGTACCTCCCATCCCCTCTTGAGTTCAGCTTCCTTGGCTGTCAAAAAGGCGCCATCAGAGTCCCTTTCTCCTAGGGCAGTTATGAAGGTAAGATGTATTAATTCACGGAAGGGGTTTAGTATGATGTCCTGCCCCCAGTAAGGATTGTACTTCTGGGAGCTGCCAGCACTTCTGCCAGTAGTGGTATCTTTTCCTCTGTTGGTCTGTGTTCTCCTCCCTACCCACTAGCCCCTCTCTTTGGTCTGAGCCTTGGCCCAGTCCCCACTCACTCTCCCCCATCCTATTTCCTCTCTCCTTTCCATTCTACTAGTCCCTTCTCTTTCTCTCCTCCTCCTTGCCCCTCCCCTGCCTTCTCTTTCTGTTCCTTTCATTTTGTGTCTCCCAGGTCCAGACGACTCCCAGCTTCTCTCTGTCTCTCCCACCCTTTGTATCTCCCCCAGTCTTGATCTCTCTGTCTCTCCTCCCCATCTCGGTCTCTCTCCATCTCTGTGTCTATCGCCATGGCCCCAGCCTGGACCTGACCTTGTCTCTTCTCTCTCTGTCCCCCTGCCATGACTGGGTGGCAGTCAGTGCTTCTGGGCATCGTGGTCCTGCTTGCTTACCGTCTGGAGTTCACGGACACCTTCCCCGTCCACACCCAGGGGTTCTTCTGCTATGACAGTACCTATGCCAAGCCTTACCCGGGGCCTGAGGCTGCGAGCCGAGTACCTCCTGCACTCACCTATGCCCTGGTCACTGCTGGGCCCACCCTCACGGTGAGACTGGGGGTAGCCTTGGTCAGACCCAGATGGCAGGAGGGCCAGGTGGAGGTGGGTGGAGGGTTGGCTTTGAAGGCCAGGAAGACCCCGCCTTGATCTTGCCCACAGATCCTGCTGGGGGAGCTGGCGCGTGCCTTTTTCCCCGCGCCACCCTCAGCCATCCCCATCATCGGGGAGAGCACCATCGTGTCGGGGGCCTGCTGCCGCTTCAGCCCCCCACTGCGGAGGCTGGTCCGCTTCCTGGGTGAGTGACACAGGGGGTCGGCTCTGCAAAAGAGGTTTGGGCCAGGTTCAGCCGTAATAAGAATTTTACGGGGAAGAGGGCCTAGAACAGCCATGATGATGACCTCGTGAGGCAAAGGGGGATGTCGGTAAAGCCAGGCACAATGGAGGTTCTAGGCACAGTGGTAGGCCTAAGCCGACCATGGTGGCAAATGTCAGGGCCCCAGATTGCTACAAGGAGAGTATCAAGGCAGAAAATGGGGACACAGGCCCAGGCCAAAGACCAGCCCAACCTCTATCCCACCCCAAGCAGGAGAATGAGAACCCGGTGTGGGGTCCCAGCCACAATGAGTGCCCATGGTGTAAGAGAAGGGCAGAGCTCATCCAAAATGGTGGTCCCTGTGACAGAGGACTGGAGCTCTAGCTCTGGCTGATTGTTGATCCAGGGAAAAAGTGATCAATTCAATAACAGTGAGCCCAGGGCAGGTGTATAAAGAGGCCTAGAAATACCCACAGGATGGTCTTCAGAGATTTCAGGCATGAGCCCAGTCCTGATGTCATGCTGCTGAGGGGTCCTAGCCCAACTATATTGGGGTTCCAGGGGAGGACCCACTCCTGAGATGGTAGTAATCTAAGGGGGACAGAAGCAAGAGGCTCAGGGTGCCAAGGGGAGGACCTTGGCCCAGGGATAATGGGATATGGCTTTAGGGGGATTTGCAGCTGTGCTTTAATGATGGTCATAGGAACAAGGCGCCCGGATGAGCCATAGGGGCTCACAGGAGGAGGGCCCTGGGGTATCAGGGGCCCAGCACGAACTCCCTCTCCCACTTCACCCCCAGGGGTCTACTCCTTCGGCCTCTTCACCACGACCATCTTCGCCAACGCGGGGCAGGTGGTGACCGGCAACCCTACACCGCACTTCCTGTCGGTGTGCCGCCCCAACTACACGGCCCTGGGCTGCCCACCGCC